GAAAAGGGAAAAAAAGGGAAAAGGGAAAAAATACCCTCAAAGGTATTGCACAGCTAAACACAAATCCCAGGCATAGCTATCTAAGAACCATCAGCAGTTCAGGATTGAACAGAAAGCCTATGAAAACTACCACATGTCTTTGAGGCAACTAGTGTCATCAATCCTTCAAAAGGACCAAGAGTCAGTGCTTGTGAACATGTTACCACAACTAAGGGAAAGATGAACTGTAGAACAACAAAAAAGAAGTGAATCCATACCTGGGTCTGGATATCATCTCCTGTAACGATGTTCCCAACAGCTCGCAAGGCAGGAGATACAACTTTGTAGTCGTTGTGCCTAAAATCAGCAAGGAAAGATCTAAGCGTTAACCATCCCGAAACATCTCTATCTTGACATCCTCAAGGAAGGAACATCCATTAGCCAGGGGAAAGCTTCCCTAAACCTGACTTAGCTTTCACAATCTGAATCAAAACATTCTTTGCTTTTGAACTAATGGTAAGACTTTCCAGGGTTTCTAAACATTTAGACCTTAAGATATCATTCAGCAGCATAAAAATAAAATATGAAATTGAAAGAGTACAAATACTTCAGAGTATATGTATCCTTGGAGGGAAAAAATCATCAGCCTTAGCTATGAAATACACTTAATGCAGCGCACACAAAGGCAGAGCGTGAGACAGAGGAACATGAATAGAAGCTGTGCGTGTTCAACTCACACTGCTGTTGGATCATCTTCTGTCATCATATGCATCCACCAATCATCAGTTACATCAGGATTGGAATAGGAAGAGTGAAGTAAGGAATATTTTTTCTCAACTGCAAATATCTCTTTCTAAAAAAGTACCTTAGGTAATACATTATTAATCCAGCATTAGATTTGCTTTACTCTTTAATGCCTTAATATTGGTTTTTCTTTACATCACTGAAAACCATTATTTTTTGTTCTTGGGCAACTGAATGCTCCATATTCTTCCCTTAAATCTGACAAAATGGCGCTGAATAAACCAGTCTTCCTGCCCCAACTCCCACAGCCACACTTCACTGACTAAAGCATGCATATACTCTTCTACATTAACGGTTTAGGACAATTTTTATGTTTCAAGTCCCTGGTACTATAAATCCTAGTAAATTCTACTATTTCTTACATTTCTATCTTTGCTATACTTCAGCAATGTCATTGGCAGCTAATTATAAGACGGAATTCAATAGTACACAGAAAATCAGAATCACAGCATGACTTGGGTTGGAAGGGACCTTAAAGACCATCTAGTTCTAACTCCCTGCGATGGGCAGGGACACCTCCCACTAGCCCAGGTTGCTCCAAGCCCAATCCACGTGGACACTGCCGGGGAGGGGCCTGCCACAGCTTCTCTGGGCAACCTGTGCCAGTGCCTTGGCACCCTCACAATGAAGAGCTTTTCTTCCTTCTATCTAATCTAAACCTATCTTCTTATAGTTTAAAAGCCATTACCCCTCAAACCGATCGCTACACACTCCTGTAAACAGTCCCTCCTCAGCTTTCCTGGAGCCCCCTTCAGGTACTGGAAGACCACTATTAGGCCTCCCTGGAGCCTTCTTCAGGCTGAATCACCTCAACCGTCTCAAACTGTCCTCACAAGGAAGGTGCTCCAGAGCCAAATCATCTTCTTGGCCCTCCTCTGGACTCACTCCAACGGGTCCATGTCCTTGTGCTGAAGGCCCCATGGTTGAACACAATGCTTCAGGTGGAGTCTCAGGAGAGCAGAGTAGAGGGGGAGAATCACTTCTGCTGACCTGCTGGTCATGCTCCTTTTGATGCAGCCCAGGACACGGTTGGCCTTCTGGGCTGCAGATGCACATTTCCTGGTCATGTTGAGGCTCTCATCAATCAACACCTCCAAGTCCTTCTCTGCAGGGCTACTCTCAAATCACTCTGTAACCAGTTTTATTTGTGCCTGGGACTGGCCTGACCCAGGTGCAGGACCCTGCATTTGCCCTTGTTGAACTTCATGAGGGTTGCACAGGTCCATCTCTCAAGCTTGTCCACCTCCCTCTGGATGACATCCCTTCCCTCCAATGTGTTGATCACACCACACAAATTGGTGTCATCAACAAACTGGCTGAGGGTGCACTCCATTCCACTGTCCATGTCACCAACAAAGATGTAAAACAGTACCTGTCCCAATATCATCCTGAGGAATGCTACTCGTCACTGGTCTCCACTTTGACACTGAACCATTCACCACGACTCTTTTGAGTGTGACCATCTAGACAATTCTTTATCCACCAAGCGGTCCGTCAATCAAAACAATGTCTCTCCAGTTTAGAGTCACGTGGAACACTTATGCGTTGCACAAGTCCAGGTAGATGACATCAGTTTCTCTGCTCTTATCCACCAACGCCATAACCTCGTCATAGAAGGCCACTAAATTCGTCAGGCAGGATTTACCCTTGATGAAGTCATGCTGGCTGTCACCAATCAATTCCTTATCTTCCATGTGCCCTAGCATAGTTTCCACAAGCATCCACTCCATGATATTGCCAGGCACAGAGCTGAGACTGACTGGCCTGTAGTTTCCTGGGTCTTCCTTTTTTCCCTTTTTAAAAACGAGAGTTATGCTTTCCCTTCTCCAGACAGTGGGAACTTCACCAGACTGCCATAACATTTCATACATGATGGACAGTGGCTTAGCAACTTCATTCACCAGTTCCCTCAGGACCCGTGGATGCACATCATCAGGTCCCATGGACTTTAACCGTCTTGAGCCTGATCTTCTCCTACAGTGGGCAGTCCTTCTTTCTCCCAGACCCTGCCTTTGCCTTCCGTGATTTAGGTGGTGTGGCTGGAACAGTTGTTGGTGAAGAATGAGGCAAAAAAGTCGAGTACCTCAGCCTTCTCCATGTCCTAGCTAACAGGTCTCCCCTTTCCTTCCAGGGAGGGCTCATGTTTTCCCTGATCTTACTTTTAACACCAACATACCTATAGAAGCTTCTCCTGTTTTCCTTGATGTCCCTTGGCCAGATTTAATTCTGTCAGGACTTTGGCTTTCCTAAACTGATCCCTGGCTACTTGGACAATTTCTCTGTATTGCTCTCAGGCTACCTGCCCTTGTTTCCACCCTTTGTAGGCTTCCTTTCTTAGTTTGTCCAGGAGCTCCTTGTTCATCCATGCTGGCCTCCTGGCATTTTTGTTCGACTTCCTTTTTGTTGGAATGTATTGCTCCTGAGCCTGGAGGAGGTGATCCTTGAATACTGACCAGCTGCTTTCTTGTGCCTCTCTTCCCTCCAGGGCTTTATCCCATGGTGCTCTACCAAGCAGATCTCTGAAAAGGCCAAAGTCTGCTCTCCTGAAGTCCAGGGTAGTGAGCTTGCTGTGCAGGGGATATATATTATATACCTATTGATATATGTGTAGATATATACGCATACACATATTTTTTATATATATAAATTATATACAGAGAACACATTTCAGTATGCATTATGATTGTTACAAAAAAGCAGCTGTTAGGTGCAGGAAAAAAAATCTTTTAAGAAATAACAAAACTAATACAAGAAAAGTTCTATTGTTTCTATTCCTCATGACAAATAGAGAAGACTGATCATAGACAGGTAAAATTAAAACCTGAATCCTGCTTTTTGGAAATTACTACTTTTCCAGACATATCTAATTAAACTTCCTACTGCTGGAATCTTGATTTTACAAAAAAGAGTGGATAGTACATTTACTCAGAACAAATTTCTTACATCAGCAATTCCACAAGTCTTCTGCAGACTCCTGCATCAATCACAGCCTGGATTTTATCATTGGGGCCATCAGACAAATAGGACAAAGCCCAGCAGGCATCAGCTAATACATCTGTATCATTGACAAAGAGCAGCCAGGAAAGCACACTTAGACAAGGTGAAACCTGTAAGATATTAAGAGGAGACATATACATTGTGCAATTAAAAGATCTATTAACATGTCAGTTAATTTTGTATGTGACACTGAAGGACTAAGCACCAGCATCTCAATGTTCAATAATGAGAAAATTTCAGGCCCAGGTAGCGCTTCTGCACAAGGCTGTAGGTACACAAGTACAGAGGATCATGCTCGCAGAAGAGCATTATGAGAATTCTTTAGCCTCCAGAGTACAATGTCTGGCAACTTAAACTCATACTCGTCTGCTAAGGTGTGCCATACTTTGCACTACAGCATCCAAGTCGTACAGAGTTTTGTTCTGCTGTGGGATGGTCGTCTCCAGTACAGGAATAGTTACAGAAAAACAGGTGGCAGGTATATATTACAACAGTCGTTGTGAAGGTCTGCCCCAAGGACTAAATACATTCAAAAACTTAACCTGTAAGAAGCCCATTACATTGTTTCAGAGAAACTCTGGAAGAAATCTACTACTCAGTTTAAGTTTCACCACCCTTACTGCTTACTTGGCTACCACTACTTTACAACACATTTCAGACATCTCTTACCTTGGCAAAATCTGGAGGAGGATTTTTCCCTCTGCAGAGGTTGGACAGAGCCCATACAGCATTTCGGGTCATAGTGAGACGGTTCTGTTTTGAAAGCAATCTATAACAAACCAACAAAAGAAAGAAAAAAAAAGATCAACCTTTGCTTTTTAAAAATTGAACCCAAGCAATCCTGTAGGGTCAACTCCATAAATCATTAAAATAAACTCAGGCCTACATTTTATCATGCACCAGGACAAGCTACGCTTGATTTTTTTGCTTTAAAAATACATCCTGAGGAAAATCATGCTTGATGACTGGATACTAAACACATGCTAAGATCCTAGTATCCTGATAAGAACAATAACCATTACATTAAAAGGGTGTTCACTTAATTGCTTAGATACTGATGTGGCAGATTAATAGTCCAAAGGCACAGGAACTGTGACAAAATTCCTTGAAGTAGAAGGACATGCAGGTTGTTTTGGAGAACACTCTCTTTGCTGAATTGCATTTTTATATCATTGTCAGACTACTATCTCCACTTTTACACTTTTGTATGTTAGCTAGTAAAGGAAAATAAAACATCCTTTGGAAGGCAAGTGTGACCAGGTTCAGAGTTTCCAAGCGTTCAAGACAGCAAGCACCGTTTATAGACTTTCTGTGTGCGCTGGCTCCAGTCCCAGCACAGGAAAGCCTTGCCCTTCAAGTTGTTGTTAGAACAAAATCTTACAGACCATGCCAAACCCCCACGGCAGTTAAGAAGTGGCACCCAAGCAACAGCTGCAGGGTTCAACTTCTGCTCCTATGACACAGGAAGCCCAACGACGTGATGAATTGTAATACCTGATACCTTCAAAAGGTCCCCATGTGTTCCCTGATCTAGTTGAGAGGTGGCGTCCCTGGAGACAGGGAGGCTGGATTAAAATGATCTCTAAGGTCCCTTCCAGCCTGGGCCATTCTATGATTCTATGCACATCAAAACTGTCCTCTTGTATTACGACTAATCATGCTGACCCAAGCTGTGTCAGCCATTGTTACACTTTAAGTCTCCCTATGTGAGATCAATCCTAGCACTGACAAAGAATTCTGTGGAGTTAAGTCACACAAAACACGAACATAAACGAGGCACCTTCCTGACAACCTAGTAATGACTAGCCATAGTGCTCTTTGGCATAGAGGGAATGTAGTAAGGCAAGACCCAGGTTCTCCACTATTCATTTTCTTTTTCTCATAACCATCCCACAATGTACCAATGTCTTTATGGGAGCATCGGAAAACTCCGCTGCTGCAAACAGGCAGAGACTGAGCAAGCTTCATTTAGACATGACAACACAAGATGGTGTCACCACTTCAGCAATAGTATGGTCCTTCAGCAGAGGACTATCAAGATAATTAGCAGACTAGAGAAATGACACACAATAGGAAGGTTGAAGACCTGGGTTTGGACAGCCTCAGGAGGAGGCTGTATAAGGGGAGATGTAACTACTGCCTACAACAGTTTAACAGGTGGATTCAGAGAAGAGGAAGCCAAGATCCTTCTCAAATGTGCGTAGGGACAGGACAAGAGGCAATGGTCACGAGGTAAAAGAGAAAATTCTCATTAGCTATTGGAACTTTGTTTTTCATCACGTCATGGTCAAATACTGCAACGGGGTGCCACAGGTGGTAATGGAATCTACCTCTGGTGTTTCAAACCTGACTGGTTAAGTGGTTGAACAATCTAATTTGATCTCACCTGCTATGAAGATAGGCTTTGACTAGATGACCTCCAGAGCTGCCTTTCAACCTAAATTATTCTATGACTCTATAATAAGCTCAGGCATCCACCCACTCCACAGAATAAAATAGTTCCAGCTTAGCTGCTCCTAAAATGCCTTCCCTTTAGCTTCATTACAAAAGTAGTTCAGGAGACCGATTAAAAAGTCTGATTAGTGCACAACTAAAAAAAAAAAAATCATTATTCTTCAAGGCAAAAAACAAACTTCAGTCTTACCAGACACTCATCGAAATTCTAGAAAACATTAAAACAAACTTACTGCAATAAGGGGGGAAGGATATTACAGTCCAATACATAATCTCTGCACATAGTGCTGTCTCCAGCAATGTTTCCAAGAGCCCAAACTGCCTGCAATGAAAAAGAGAGTAGTATTTGCTTTTATTCTCACAATTCAACCAGTTCAGCATACGTATTAGATCCTGGACAACACACAGAAAGGGAACGCATTCTGGTCAAGTATTACATACAGACACTCAAGCTCATTACATGATTTGGAAGTACTTGCACAGATCTAAGAGGAATATCAAAACAACCAACAGTCTCTAAAGACTTTCCAGGCAGACATGACCTTGCTCTGTCCACAATACAAGAGCTGATCTTATCTCCTCAGGCTTAGTAATATACTAATTCTACCACTCCTCCTGCTTCAGAGCTGGTTCAAGTCCAGATGTTCATAGCACAGGTCAAGCAAGTTTGTAACTACCCAAAAATGTTTGTGTGGAACAGCCCGTATTAGTATTTCCTAAGAAGCCACAAAAGCACACGCTGTTTACACAGTGTATTATTAAGAATGTCGACACTGACTAAGATGAAAATAAGAATCTATATGAAAGATAAACCAATGTTCAGAATCAAAGAGTTCAGATACGCATTGGCATATATTCTTTAAGGGAAAACCATGTAAGACAGAACCAGTGTTGCCTATTATGATACACACAGCAAAATGCAAGGACAGATTTCTTCTCCCTTGAATATCAGTACTACTGTAACCTTTCATTTTGAGAAGAAAAGATCCAAAACGCCAAGAGAAAAACCAAAGAAGCATGAAATCCATCTTTTGTAATATGACGAGAATAAAAGAATTAATTGGTTTTGATCACTGTCCATGTGATTTACAAACAATATTTTGTCACACAAGAAAGCGTATGAAAACATTTGGTATTTATTTCAAGTTAACAGAGAGCAAAGTGTCATATCAAACAGATATATGGACCTACTTATTTGGCAAGGCCCATACAACGCCTACACAGCCACTGGATGTACTTGCAATACTGCATATAAGGTGCAAAAGCAATCCTATTGTCATAGACAGCAGCTGAATGCCCTCCCCAAATTTCTCTTCATGAAGAATACATATTTATTTGCGTAACTTTTTCTCTAACTGAACATAAGTTCCTCACATGAGATAAACACACTTTTCTCTCCATATCTCTACTTGAAATAAATTACTAAATAAATTACTACATAAATTTTTTTAAAAAAAAACAGAGTAAGCCACATTTGTTACCCAAAGAAAATTCTCAGATAATCGGAAATAAACTTAATTATTACTTATTGATATGATGACAACTGATTTGTTGCATCAGAATTCTACTGTACCATGTTTTTAAATGGTGGCAAAACAATGCTACATTACAAAACAGGCTCCAATCACCCTTGAAGCCCCAAACCACCAGCAAATCCTGCAAAAATTAATACAGCTCAATGCAGATGTGTACACAAAACGTAGCTACAGATGTCAGCTTGCTAGATACAAAATAAAAAGATGACTCCTCCGCACCTGCTTTACCAATAATACCATAGGTAGATTGATCTGAAGTCCCTCAACTGCAAGCTGTTAAGAGACATGGGGACTATTCCAGGAAGGGATTAGTTTGGTTTGTTCTCCTACTGTTTTTCATTGCTTCACAGTCAGAGACAGGGTACCAGGATATACTGACCTTTGCTGTGGAACAGCACCACTATTACTAAACAACGTCCCCCCAAAACCAATCTTGGTCATGAAACCTTATTTATCGTTCTAATTCTTATTTTACAGCTTTTCTGACAACATCTTGTCTGTAACAGAAGCATAACCTTAGGTCTGGCAGCTTCATGGAGTCAAGGCAGAGAAGGCAGTTACACGAAAAAATTAGCTCAAGAGACGGAACATATGTCACCTCCTGAAAAATGTCATTTGTATTAGAACTGTAACAAGCCACGCTCGTTGCTCACTGCAACGTTTGCATTTCTGCAGGAATGTGAAGCCCGAGGAGTGAATCAAAGATTTCAGATAGTTCTAAATAAACTCACAGATCTTCCAAAAAATGTTTAGGGGTGAAAAAGTTAGAATTTGCAATAATTTCCTTTTATTGAACATGTGCATAACTTTGCATGAAGATACAATCTCCTTGCCTGGACACCCCTACAACATGTTAAAATGCTCCCGGAGGCCGCATCTCACTTGTCTGTGGGCTTTGTTTCTGCCATTATAGCAGTATCTATTTTTAGGGTTGACAACAGTGATAATCACTTAATCCAAGAATCCATTCTGACCCTGAATGACAGACTGGTTTTGCAACAGCAAATCTCGCATCAAAAAGTCTGACCAGAGAAGTCAAATAGCATCTGTACTGCTTTTCCACTCTTGATTTTTTTATGGCAAGAGAGATCTGGCCAAGTAGTCTGGTATCAAAGGACCTGGTAAGATAGGCTATTGCAAGAAATCCTTGTAATAATAGTACACAAGACGCAAAGAAATTGAAAGACTTTCAGGAAAATATGCAAGGTTTCATTCAACGAGGAAAATGTCTCCTTAAGGAACTACTTGAGGTCCTCAGGTAAGTGGGGAACATAAGTCAAGCCCATCAGATACTGCTATAAATACAAAGCTCTGTCATGGTTCCCATATGTGACCCATGACAACTGTCTTCATGGTTTGTTTGTCTGAATAATGTTCAACAATTTCCATTGCTCCTTCTGTGTACTCCTCAAGATGCAAACACCTTGCCTGCCATGACAGTCTGGCTTCATTCTGCACATCCTAATTTTTTTTATCTTCCTTTTTTTTATCTTCTACTTTTCTGGAGAGTTGCAGAGGTTATTTCATTAAATTTCAGAGTTCATTAAATCAAAAAAATATCTGACTCTAAAAAAATCCATTTCAATACTTTCCAATATTTACATCTAACCCTGAAGATGAAAAGAAACTGTAATTTTAAGATTTGTAGTCTAACTTTCCAACCAACACCTCAGGTACCAAAGTTGTGTGTAAACTGAAAATGCAAACGCCGCCATGTCAATTCACAGCATCAATTTTTATACACCTGCATAAAATTCCATTTATTGCTTATAGCGGAGTAGGGATTGTTGCAGGTCTCCAGTTTATTTCACTCATTATTCAATTCCAGTGTTTTTTCATGCAATTCTGGACAACTTCAGTAATCAATAACAGTGAAGTGCAAGTTTTGTAGAGCTCTCCTGAGCCATATGGTAACTCCTCTGAATAATCCATTTGCTTTCTGACAACCCTCCACCTTCCCCAGAATTCTGAAGGCACTCAGCCACTACTTCATTAGTTCTTTGGATATTTAAACAAAGCATTAAACCAACCACCACTAGAGTGTAGAGTCTGTGCCTCTTGGTGGAAAAGAAATACAATGAAGTGAGAATCAACAATTTCTCTACTTTCGGCTGTTGACTTGGGAAATGGATCTAATGCTGGGATAAAGATGGCGCAGATTAGCTTGCATACAAGTGTGACCAGGTAAGTGGACACCAGGAAGGATATCGGAAGGCCAAATTCCTAGGAGATGACGTCTACCATGCCCCAACACAGAAAACACCTCTCTTTCAGTGGCTGAGGTGGTCAGAGTTCCTTATTTCTCACATCTTATCCACCTAAACTCTTTTTCTTTCATGCCTCAATTCTTTTTCCTGATTTCGATTGCCAAGACCTAGTTAGTGTGACTGATGATGTAAAAGCCAAACAGAACCTGGACACCAGACTCACAGGTCACCTCTGCCAAACAAACGATGGTTGCCGAAAGTAACAGCAGTACAGCTAGAAATGGAAAAATACTGAGGGAAAAACAGAGCAGCTGGGGATGCTCCTGCCACCGGCTGTCCAGCAGATCACAATGACACATATCTGTCACTGCAAGGCAATCTCAGTCATCATGGACAGGGAGCGTAATGCCCTGCGTGGTTTTTGAAGGAAATTCAGCGTTCATCAAGGAAACCTGAGTTGACATCTGGGTTTTAAATACCTCAGCAAGGGACTGCAGCTAAGACACTGCTGAAGCTAGATTGACCTTAAGCATGTCTAAAGGGCTTTAATAGAGTCCTTCAATATAAATAATTTCAGGCTGGCATATCTAAATTTCTAGATGTCTTTTGGAAGAAAAAATTGTGGGAAGTGGAAGAAAGCCAGGACATATGTCACTGACTAAATCTAGAAATCAGTCTACCGAAAACAGAAATGGGGAGAGGTGGGGAAAAGCAACTAAAGTGTTTTTCATAAATAGTGGACATGTAGCTTCTGTAATAAACTCAGTTTCTTAAACAGGAAAAATAGATGCCAAGTGGTTTGATGCCTGATCACAGAGGAAGATATACAATCTGAGAAAGACTGATACACAATGCAAACAATAAAAGAGTTAAGGGATGGTAAGGTCATTAAATGTCAGCCTGCATAGCTTAATGGGAAACAGATCATGTAGAAAGACATAAGTCAAAATTTCATTAAAATATAAGTTGTTTAATAAACATAGTAATAAAGATTCCGTCAGACAAACTTCTGTAAAACTACTGATTTAGAATCACACTAGACTCAAAAACTGGCATATGTAAAAACCAGTGCAACACATTCAATTAAAAATGGCTTATAAATATGATGAGGTAACTGCTAAGTAAAGTTTGAAATAAAAGACGAATTCAGTGTCATAAGTCCATAGGACTGACTGACTGCAAGACAAAAATCAATGGATAATGATTAGCCTGTAATTCAAATTAAAAGAATGCTACATGTTTCAAATTATATTACCACTAATATTTCTCTTCAGGAAATTACTAACCCACTCAGCACAAAGAATGGCTTACTGCATACAACCTTCCATATTTCTTTTTCTTTTCTTCCCTTACTATATGGTTGTAGGGTGAGCTTCTGGCCCATCTGCCCTGAACACGTAGTTACCTTGTCTGTATTTTCCTGTATTTTTGTAATTTGTTGCAAATGTAGCAAGAGATGCTTGCAAATAATATTAACAGTACTACTACGAGACAAAGTAAGAATCACCATTGTAGACAGGAGAAAATTATGAGCAAATATCTTCCAGTTTCAGAAGTCCATCTAGAGAAGGCCAGGATCAGATCTGCTCAAAACAGACCTAACTAACAGTCACTTGCAAAAGTGTTGAGTTATCCACAACTACGAAAACTAAAGTGAAATATTTCACACTAAGCATTCAAGAAGCACAGAACTAGTACCCACTTACTGAAAACTGATAGAAGCAAACTGTCCAGCATCGGACACTAAGCAGTAGATAGCTGAACAGATAGCAGAAACCTGCAGTCGCTTTTATCGTAAGAATCTCTTCCCTTTTCTCCTTCATTCACTGTAATGTGTTCCAGCTTTAACAAACAGGGCCACAGTGTGACAAATAAAAGCCTCCTTTACTACCCACTTATTTGTTACCACGGCAACAATGTGTGCATATACTGAATGAGACAAGAGTCATCTGGAAAAATACTATGCAATTGTGTACTAATGCCATCCTGTAATGCAGTAGTACAACAGCTAACTTTTTAGTGCTTAATGCTTCCAGTTTTTCGTTTAGTAGGTATTACAGTGAAGTGTTTGGGCTTTTTTTAAGAGCTTCTGGAAAAAAAAATAGTATTTCTTTCCTGTTGGCCTGCCTTAAACCCAGGGTTAGCTGTGAGCAGGGCTGTAATCTCTAGACCTGCAGCACTGAAATCCACCATGAAAAGGGGGAGGCAGCACTTTGCAGTGGCACATTTTCCTTCTTCAGCACAGCTTACTACAGAGCAATTTGCTACCGGTATTTAGTGACTTACTGGTAACAGAGATCATGGAATCAGCATCCGAATTGCATAGAAAAATACGCCCCTGCCTGCAATCTGAACTTGAACATGACAGCAGTTTATTAGGAGGCAGAGGGGGAAGGAGACAGATAAACTACTTAACTGTGGCCCTTAAGCTCTTCCGCTAATTCACACATCTTAAGGCTGAAGGCTGCACAATTCATTCTAAAGAGGGTTGCTCTTCCCACCTGTTCCCTGAACATGAGCAGGGATGATAACAACCTAACGAAAAAAACCAAGCTAGAAGATGGAGTAGCCTTTACCACACTCAGAGAAGCAATCATTCTTCAGGAACAGCACTGTATAAGTGATGGCTGAATCTGGAAAGTATTGCCACCAATTTCTACACTCTGCCCTCCAAAAAAAAGCAACTCCAAAAAGCATCATATAGGTAAGTCTGGATGGATTTCCACATAGGCAGAACATAGCATTTATCTGACATTTTGGCAAGCTCCCTATCACGTTTCTAGTTTCTGCAACAAGAGACAAATGCATTTCCTCAAAGAAAGCTAATAAATTTTAAAAAGGACAAAAAATACTTATTTCCTTTAATATCATTTTCTCAAGCACCTGAATTCAACTTCCCTTCAAAAACCTTGTAAAAAGTAATTCTGCCTGAGACAGGCCATTGAAAATGGAAAGTTGCAGAGCAGAACTACTAGAAAGTTAGAAGCAACTGAGAAAATAAAAACGAAAATCTGTCTGTCTCGTGGAAAATCTTAGGCAACCTTAAGTGCAGGTGGTACATTCTGTGCCAGCTACAAGAAAGAAAGGCAAGTTACACAAAGCGATCCGATGCTTATGGATCCTCCAGTCATGCAGCTCAATAAAGTCAAAGGCAAGGTCAGACATCTAGGAACAGAGAAGAGAGGTCACACTTACAGGATGGAGAACCGAACCCTGGAAATCAGTGACTCTGTAAAGAACAATGGATCACACCGGGTAATTGGTTTAACCTGAGCTCGCAGACAGCTTCTGTAGCAAAGAATCCGCAAAGACATCTTGGATATTTACGCACCAAAGTATGAAGCAGAAATGAAAATGAGGTACTATCTCTGCAAACAGCACTGCTGGAAGAGCGCTACTGGAATATTCAGTGCTTGTAATTTCACCACCACAAAAGGATATTGAAACAAAGACATGTTCAGAAAAAGGTCAACAAAAAAAAAACCCAAATTAATCACCATAGAAATACCCTCACAATTAGAATTCAGAGTTTAACTCCATTTGCTCAAGAAAAGCTTAAGCTATAGTCTGTAAGTAGGTATAGGAAAAAAGAAAGCTTTACTAATTGAGCAGACAATGAAACAAAAGCAAATACCTGGATGCAAAGCTAGTCAAATTTGTCCACTAAAGGTACATAATTTCAAGTTAGGGTTAAGATTAACTGAAAGTCTGTTTGTTAACATGATTAATATTTCATCAACCTAAATCTTCAAAGTAAGATTATATGTTTGAAATACATTCTTCTTCAAACACAAGTTACAGAATCCTGAAGAAATTATTGAGTCAAATGTTTGGTCTTTGGGCCTTAAAGAATATTTGTCTACTTTGTAAGGAACATAGAGAACAAAGTACAGAAAAAACTATAATTTTCTCTGTAGACAATAAACTATAATTTCCACTCCTGCTTTATCTTTGTGAGAAACAAGAACGATCTTTGCCTCTCTACAGTGATTTTTTAAACAAGGCTGACTGAATTCCTCAATACACAGAAAAGTATTAACCCATTAAAGATCAAAACGCATTATTCCACTGGCTGTGCTTAATATATGATTTCCAGAAAATGAAAAATACTTGCTTAGATATCTTAACACATAGAAGGTAGAAAGGACCCGTCATGCAAAACTGCCAAACACTACATTTCCCCTACAGGCTTTCTTAGAGGATAGCCTTCTTCCTTTCTGGGGAAGGAAAAAGCAACAACACAAACACAAACACAACACAAACTCCACAAACCACCACACACACAAAACCACAACACATTATTCCTAATCTTTACCTGTTCCTGGACATCTTCAAACTCTGAACTGAGCAGCTCTATGAAGATGGGGACAGCTCCCGCTTGGATGACTATTCGAGTCTGAAGGGAATTTCCCGAGGCAATATTTGTCAGTACCCACGCAGCTTCAAACTGGAACACAGAAAAGACTGTTTACTAGGAGTCTCCTATGCCACACCAAAAAAGACTAAATGTCTTTTAAAGACAGAAAGAATTGGCATACAGAAAGCATGCCATATTACTAGTTAACACAGACAACCTGCAAAGTAAAAATTGGAACCATACAGTTGGAGTTATCAATATCACCTGAAATCAAAATTTGCAGTTCATTACGAGAACAAGATCAGGTTTGTGGTGGCTTTACAAATATTATTTTTTGCTATTCAACTGTTATTACCTTTGGTCTGTTCTGCCTTTCCTTACTAGCTAAGAACCTATAGGAAAAAAATTAGTATTCCCAGAAGGCATTTGATATCTGCATTCACTGAATCAGCAGCTGTATTTCTGAACACACTCACAAAAAGACACTGTTTGACAAAACTTGATGGGCATAAAGCAAATAAAAGCCATTAAAAAACAAAAAACAAAACCCAAAACTTTGTGATCACAATCTGATAAAACGCTGTAACTATAGCAAAGTATTCTTTTCCATGATCAGCAAGAGTTATTAGTGTTTGATGTTTTTATACAAAGACTTAAAACAAAACTGAGATCCTGAATTAACACTTTGCATCATTTAACTGGGTTTGTAATTAATTTTTATTTTAAATCTCAACATGCAAAAACATTCACTATTTAAGCCAAAATGCAAGTTTTAACACTACCTGATAGAGATTTCAGAAATCTAGATTTTGGGAAATTTCTGTAAGCTTCTCAGTCCAAAATTTATTACACTACACTTGCAAACTTAAATCCTGTCAGATACATTCAGAATCCACAGAACTAAAAGACTGCTCAAAAGTTGAATGAAAAGGCAAAAATCAACAAACAAACAATAAAAATGGAAAGTTGCCTGCTATAAATGATCGATTTTGACACTAATGAATTCTATTAATCAGCATTCGAGTGAAAAATCCTGATATGCTTTCCATATCTTTGAAGAGCAGCAAGGACTTACATTTAGGATTTCATCATAAAAGCAACTCCTGCTAAGGAGATGCACAGAATCCTGAAATGAGCCTGAAATATCAACTCAACAGTTAAGCTTAGACTTGCAAGGGTTATTCATTATTAGAGACTACAGTTTGAAACATACAATAAATCCTGCCTTCCTGACCAACCAGGAAGGTCGGTAAGATGGTAAGATGTAATCAGAATAAAGGATTCCAGAATAAATTGTTGTAATACACAGAGAATATAGGCTGCAATAAAGCAGAAACACACAATGTCAAAGCTAAAAGACTCATCATTAATGAACTAGAAGGAAAATATTCAGGCCAGAGCTCAAGGTCAACATGAAATGCATTTGCTTTCCTGTAATTTTACTTTCTCTGAAGTGAGTACCGTGTTTTGTCATACATTACAAGAGGATTGTTATTAGTCATGTTTCAACCACAGAAATTGCTTGCTCATATTTCAGAACTTGCCCTTTGGCTTCCTAATGGATGCCAGCAGGTTGAAGTATTCACAGTTCAAGAGATTCACACTCTCTCCAGTAACACACTCATTATGGAGAAGAAACACTATGTACAAAATACCAGGTCCTTTGTGCTCAAATCTATACTTTACTTCAAATATTCACAAAATACATTTTGATTATGAGCTAATAATAAGATCTCCCCATCTTTAGTGGAATGTAGCTCTCTTAAACTGAGTTTTTCCCAACGCCTACCCAGAATCAAGGGCAAATTAGATGATGCCCTTGTAAGAGCACCACTGAACATTTCAGATGGTGGAAGTGACAGAAAGGTTACCTAACAGTGACTCTCCTCTCTCTCCACTGTGGACACTTGATGCTCCAGAACATCTAAACTAAGGAACAAACACATGTAAATGGAAAAGGATAGAAAAACAAAATACTTGAGGATCATTAAATTAACAGGAAGAAAACCTCATCCAAGGGACAGTCTTGGTATTGTTCTTTTTTTAAGCTCTCTCTCCATCTAGAGATTTTGCACAAGACAAATGTACTTGTTCACAGACGGTTTAAGTGATCACGGAGAAGAGGGAAGCTTTTTAAATCTTGAAATCGTAGAGGAATTTCAGACATATTAGACCTTCCTACCACTGATACTAGAAGCTCAGTTTTTACTGGATAGTCCATTTATAACACATAAGAAAAATGGAGCATAAAGTCACATAAAGTTCCAAGATCGTCAACATGGAAGAGTTTCCATATGCAATCCACCATACAAATACCTAGAGCACTTTAGTGTTTCCAGCGCGAGTTGAAAATCCCTTCCTTTTGGAGCTAGGCTAGAGTCAGGCAAGCCCAAAATCTACACCTGTGCCAAGGAACACTTTGGGAAACATTGACAGAGTAAAAGCAAGTTTTAAAAAACGAGGTCAAGAGAACTTACTAACTGATGACAGCAAAAAGTTCTACCTGCAGAGTCTGAACTGCCAAGCAGGCAGACATGTATGGCAAGATGAAGGAAAATGTAACCAGTTGGGATGGAATATCTAGAGCAATGTACTCAGGTTTATATTTTCAATGCTTTGCTACCAGCTCCTTAGGACAAACTTGGAAGTTTCAGATTTGACTGACTTTTGCTCTTTCCATGTAAAAATTAATAAATTATACCAGTAACGCCACGAGAATTTCACTCAAGCTATGATTGCTCCTGAAGTTTTCTTAAACTTGAGATGTATCTGCATTTGATGAAATACCCTCTACCCTTATTATCCTTTCCTATTCAACCATGTCCTTTAAATACTGGGATCTTGTTTCCCTTTGTCTGTCTGTCTTAGGTTTCCATGCTAGAGCCCTGTAAGTAACAAAGAGCATTCAATTATTTTTATATCAGATTGCTTACAAACTTTCCACTAGAACTGCAAATCAACTGCCTTGAATCTGATACATACTCTATGTTACCCTCCGCAGACTCCTCAAAGGTAGCTAACAGACCATTGGAATTCTGTGGTTATCCGAAAAGTAATTCCTATAAATGATACCTTTTCTCTAATGTGTACATAGAAAAGTATCAATTTTTTGCATATTTCCACTCACCAAAATTTGGATTTCATTTGGCATTTTGAAAGAATACTGACTCTAATCTATGTATTTGACTTAATGGTTGCCTGTTAACTTCTTTTTCTCTATTACTTTCATTTTCTACTAGTTCAGTAGAAAGAACTCTGACTAGAAAAAAGGACAGATGGAATCAGACAAAGCTCCAAGAAGCAAGTCCATGACAAATTAACCACCACTGTAACAGACACAATTTAGTTTCTCAAACCAAATCAAGTAAACCTTGAAACCAAGGTTTCTATGTTTACCATCACGGATTGTAATTCTAATTCTAATTTTTTTTAATTTAATTTAAAAAAAAGTCATAATTCTAAAGACTTAAAAGTGTCTTCAACTAGCACAAAAAGGACAAACATTAAAGTTTAGTTCCATGGCTTTTAATTTGTTCAGGCACAAATTTCAAACTCTGCTTTTGTTACATGACAAAGTGTAAAGACTTCATCCTAGCAATCACACAATGCAACTCAGGCATATCTCTCTCTCCCCTGTCTCCAGATATCTTGCTAGAAACCCTAAAGATAAAAATACCTTTTTTAATCTAGTGAAGAAAAACAGAAGTACAGTTAATTACACAAATCACTGATTCTCTTCTACCTAATTGGCTTCAGCAAATCCCTTCATAATATTGGAAGATAGATACATTTGTATTTGTATACCTGTAATGTACAATTTTCTTTCCGTTTGAGGAACTCCACAAACCTGGCCACCACTCCTGGTGTGCTTATAACTTCATCTATTGGAGGATTTGGTTCTATTTAAAATAAAAAGCAAAGTTAGGTACACTCATTTCTTTGTACGGAAATTCTCAAACAACTGCATCAAAATAATATTCAATGACACACTGACCCTTCTTTTCCGAGTGTGTTCTTCTACAATACTGCTTTACCTTTATTAAAAGGCAATAGATTCCTATCTGTCACCATAAGAAGGCTCCAGTCTAAATTTTGTGATAATATGATTCAAAACACCAATGCACTCAGTAATTTAGGCTGACCAGCTTCACAGCAGCAGTGCTGTGAAGTCACTGCGGCAGGCACACACGCAGAGACACTTCCATGTATCAGCATATTTGAGCCGTAGAGACACTGCTTACAATAGTTAAACTTACACTCAGGAGTAGACACCACATGTAAATCACTTGGTACTTACACAGATTTAAAGAAAAGAAGTGACTATTACACACATCTAGCTGACACTTTGCAAAACAGAGCTTCAGCCAGAAGTGTCTGTATGAAACTCAATCTTTACTGCTATCAAAGTAAAAACATAGGCATGAGATGCTTCTACAGTTTTCCACAAGTAATTTCAGCCCTTACCTTTAGAAAGAAGCTTTCGGAACTTCTGGGTAGCTGAAAGCTGCTGTTCTGGACTATTGGAGAAAATCATCTCAATCATATCAGAGGTGATGACTGCACTCTAGGATTCAGGTGGAGGAAACAGAATAAGAGCAACAGAGAACAAGAGGGAAAACAAAATCTGGGATTAGCAGTAAAAAGGTTACAACATTTGCTAGGCCAAGTTTATCTCTTGTTGAGTAAAAACAGATAAGATCATCAAGGACAACAAATTATACATATAAATCTACATAAGCAGCATCATTCTTAAGTGTAGTCTTGCTTTCCTGGAAGCCAAAATTAAAATTTTACTTAAGATACTGCAAGAAAATTACACTTCAGAATCTCTCACTGGTATTCTCTCCCCCTTTTTTCTATCTCACCTCCTCCAAAATAAATGTAAAATTGTCAGTTTCAAGAAAAGCTAGTTTAAATTGGAATAGCAATTACTCTTATGTAAGAATACCACTTTGATTACACTACTGTTTAGGCTTCTGTAACATGTATATTCTGATTCATTCTCTTACACCAAAATGTACATCACCTGCCATTTTTAAGAGTTGACAAACCTAATCCTTGTCATCATAATCAAGTAAGCGTATTAAATTTTCCATAATGCTGACAGTTTCCACTAATATGGCTAAAATACATCAGCAACCTTCCTTATGCCAGGTAAAATCTGACATTCTGTTCATCATACATGTAAACCCCTGCAAAGAAACATAAGGAAAGTCGGATTTTTTCTTCCACTTCTGATCTAAATCCTTAGATAAATCTGACCCAAACTCTCAGATAGAGAGACAGATTACAGTGCTGAAAATACTTAAGCTTTGCCTATAAGAGCTAACAGCTCCAATCGTTCAGACCCTGAAATTAATGATATTTAAAATAGTAAACTGTATAGGTTCCCTTCCTTTTCATTATTCATTTCATATAACACTCTAACCAAATATTCAAACTTGTCTGACATCTAAAGACTATCTTGAAGAATAAAACAATATATTCTGTTAGTGATCTGCCACATGATTTAAGGAATTTCTCTGTTTCTGAGTAATTTTCACAGCTGGTATAACTGCCAACAGAAACCAAGGCCACCTTGATTTCTATGAAATCATCATTTGCATACGCTGAACACAGATACAAGCATGAAGATCAGTGGTCAGGCTTTTAAGTCAGGACTGCACTTCCTTACAAACCTCTGCGTTACAGCCCAAATCCCTTAACATTTTTCTTTCCAGGGAGGTGACACATGGAGATAGCTAAGCTGCATCTAGCCACGTTTCCAACACCTTGGCTAAAAATTGTGCCACTTGAAAGGTCATCAACAAAGATTTCCACTGAGCCCCTTTTTACTTTTTAAGGTGCAATAACTCATTGTCTGGTTTGTGTTTTCATTGTTTCAAGCACTATGAATTTCAGATTTACAAAAAAAAACTCTGGGCAAGAGTTGACAAAACTACCTATAATGGTGAATATCAAAACCAGGAAGAAATTAGCCTGTCTGAACCAATGACATTTTACTTAACGTTCTTGAATGCATATTCGCTGAGCAACCACTCGCTACCCATAGCATTTTTCTCTCATGTAACCTGTTTCACAGCAGTTCACCAAGACAGATGCGTAAGAGATCTCCATAAGCTCTTAAATGCCATTTTTCACATTCTTCTGGAATTCCATCCCCCTCAAGTTACTGCCCAACAGGCCCACCCAGTGTCAAACAGTGTATTCCTTGCTCATCACTTACAGACGTCATCTCCATGTTGTTCATCTGAGCCTCATGGAAGCCACCATCTGACATCACTTCCTCCTCCGCTTCTTCCTCAGCTGTTGCAACATTTCGACGTTTAAACAACTAAAGAGAGACAGTATTTAGTATATACTATATAGCCATAATATACACAGCATGTTATGTTAAGCTGTAATAAAAATGACATGTGCTACCACCAGAAAGAAGCTAGTACACCAGCTGCAGGACTCCTCCTGACCATAAACGGAGAAAGCTTAGTTACAGAGTAAATAAAATCAGCAATGTGCTAGAATATTGGTTCTCAACACTTCCGAAAAATTCTCACTGATATTCCTTTCTCTCCTTCACCATCCCCCTCCATCTACAAGCTAACTCTAGCTTCTAGACAACTGCCTTCTCACAGAAGAAGGCCTCAAAGACAAGAAAAATTGCTGTGTATAACAGATCTTTGCCCAACCCTGCAGAAACTGAGATAATTGTGTTACAGTGGCAAAGAGAAGGTTTTGGAGGATGATCACGCCCTCGTACTGAAGAATTTCTTCCTAAGGTCCAATCTAAATCTATTCTCCTTCAACTTAAACCCATTTCCCCTTGTCCTATCAGTGGACAAAAAGTCTTGTAAAAAGTCCCCCCCCAGCCTTCCTGTAGGTTCCCTTCAGGTATTGGAAGGCAGCTGTTGGGTCCCCCTCAAGCCTTCTCTTTTCCAAACTGCCTACACCATTCTATGATTCTATGATCATAGGGGACTGAAATTATACTGGGATGAATAAAATTTGGCTGTTACCACTTAGAGAAGGTAGGCAGTTTGAGATGTCATGAGGAGAGCTAGAGAGGTTATAGTTTCTCCCCTTAATCCATCTACCTCAGTGAAAGAAATATTAGCAATGACAAGATGGCTTCGCGGGCGCTGCCTGGTCTGTTGAGTTCAGGGAGCAAGGCTCCAGCATTGAGCCACGTCAGATTCGCAGCACTGCAGACAGGCAGGATACCTGGCACAGCCCTCCTGCTACTCTTGTCTTGAGAAAAGATGGGGATGGAGAGCAGCTGAGGGAGCTGGGATTGTTTAGTCTGGAGAAGAGGAGGCTGAGAGGAGACGTCATTGCTCTCTCCAACTCCCTGAAAGGAGGCTGCAGTGAGGTGGGTGTTGGTCTCTTCTCCCAAGTTACTAACGATAGGACAAGAGAAAACAGCCTCAAGCTGCACCAGGAGAGGGTCTGATTGGATATTAGGAAAAGTATTGGAACTGAGGCACTGAAACTGAGGTGAGGCTGCCCCGAGAAGTGCTGGAATCACCATCCCCGAAAGTATTCAAAAAGCATGTGGATGTGGCACTTCAGGACATAGCTTAGTGGTGATGGTAATGTTGGGTTGATGATTCGACTGGATGATCTTAGAGGTCTTTTCCAACCTTAATGATTCTGTGACTCTATGAACCAGTATGTGAAATCGCTAAGGCTAGAGCAATCTTAGGTCAGTGATAGGGGTCCTTATAGAATGCTATTCCTTCTAAGCAACCATATGAAATGCCCATTCAACAAAAAAAAAAAAAACAAAACACAGAAGACAGGGGATTTAAACAAGTTGCAATAAGCTATGTGCCAAATACATAAAAGGAAAGTACCTGTACAAGGTCTGAAATCGTAGAGCTGCAGACTCTGCTTGCAACTCCAGTTCTGCTCCCCTGTTAGTCCAGTTATGACTAACAATTTTCCTTAACAAGGCAAAACTGCCACACACTTTATTTAGCCAGCAGGTAGTAACCAGGTCCAAAGGAGGTCAGAGGCACAGGTAAGACATAAAATTACTCCTAATTTTCCTCATTTAGTAATGGCTTTACAATAAGACCTATGACATTCTCTGCCACTAGTAGTCTGGAAATGCTACCTGCAGATACAGAACAAATTCAACAAGTATTGCAGCTGTCTCTCAGAACTCTCCCCTGCCTTTCCTTGAAAGTAGATGGTATTGACACTGTGAAAACAATACTAAACAGAACCGGTTACAGGCCTGACCTACCATTCCAAACATAAGTGTATTACTATCTTCACTACAACTCCAGAAACCTCAACACTGATGAATGAAAAAGGCTTCATCACAGCTTTCTTTGAAATTGAACAAATTCCTTAAAGTTTCCAATGAACATAACTTAAAACAAAAGGAAGAACTGTTCAGCTACAAACTATCTGTTTTATCAGCTGTTTTTTCACTGTCTTGCCACTGCTGCCGTTTCCCAATTAAACCTGCAGTGCACCTGCCACTTTGCAATGAGAACAAAGCAGTAAGAACTAGTAAGACATGAGCAAGTAGAAAAGTTCCATTTCCAGGCACTCTGCTCAAATCAGTTTGCTTACAACATATACTAAATCCATCACTCAAGGCATAAATTTTTGTGAATTCATAAATTAACTGAAACTTAAAGATAGAAAACTGAGATGAATCAGGTCAACGAATTATTTCTTCCCTCAATGAAATCACTACTACAACTTCTAAGGATTTGGTCAGACCTTCTCCTGTTTTAGCTGCAATGTTCCTTTCCATTTCACCCCAGATTACCACTCTTTGAACACAGCTTAGAGCCACCACAACTCAGGTAGCGAAAATAATAAAAAACCCCACAACACAAAAAAAACCCAAAACAAAACAAAAAAAAACAAAAACGAGTGTTCCTCAGCCATCTGCAGTGCAAGGTCAGGCAGCTTCGTTCAAATTATCTTCAAGATGCTCTGGTCAACTCTAGTTTTGTAGAGCCTGCTGAAGAAGCCGTAAAGTCTGCACGTGACTGATTTCAGACCAACTGTGTATGAATTTGGGAAGGCAGGAACAACTAAGAAGAGGCTCGGCAGAAACAAAGAGTCAAAGACAGAAAGACAAGACTGTTTAAGGACTGTTAGCTGTAGTACAGTACCTGTTCCTCTCTCTTTTGCTTCCGTAGCTGAAGACCCTCTTCCTCCCGCCTGCGACGCATCTCATCAGGGTTTAGAGATTTGTTCTTGTAGCTCTTCAGTCGGAAATTCTCTTTTCCTGAGGTCGTCATGATTCCTCTACAATGCAATTAAAGAGTCAGACAAGAATTACTCTTCAACATGTACCATTTTACATTGCTTCCAGCTCTTAATTTTTGTAGCCATGCACTTTCAGCCACTGCCCTTTACACACTGTCACTTAGCTTCCGAAATCTTAGATGGTATAAAGCAAAGTTTCACAGAATTCTCACATCCGTGTGCCAGTTCTTCACATCAGATCACAAAACTTTTATCTCTGAGACTGCAAGGCATGAATAAATGCAATATTTTATTAAGAATGAACTGAGAGCTGTAAGGCAGAGTATACAGTCTGAGCTAAGCACTAATAAATATTAACATTTCTCCATATATGGAATTAGCCAAACTAATTATACTCCCCTGCCTTCACTCAGACATGAAGAGGTCTTAGCTACTTTTTTGCTTAATTCACTTTGTAATTCAGTACAGGGGGTTTTTTGCACTCCAAATCCACACTTCAAAACAACCCTGTGTTCTTTCTATCCAGGTAAGGCCTACAAGAAAAATAAAACTGAGAAATTTTAGGTGACAATGGTCTAACCACTGAAAATGCTCAGTCCTGCAAAGAAAGCAGTGCTATCCTTCCGTCCTTCCCCACCCCCAGTCTCTAACCCTGCCACTGTTTATGCAGAGGGCCCTTTCTTCATCCTATCATTTCCAAGTACTGTCTTACGTAATTCAGTAGATCAGCACTTGCAGCCACCCATGATGATTTCCACATGTACAACACTGCACTCTGGAGTTACTTAGCATAAACAATAGCTAAAAACCTGTGTGGAAAGACCACGGTCCCCTTAAATCAATGGGCTGTGAATCAGGTCTTGACTTTTAGTGTTCCATTCTGCTGCTAGATCTCCCCTTAAATCCCCCCTTTAAACCCCAAACAGGTTACAAACCAAATTCGAAACATCTCCACATTTCCACGCATCTTCATACAGATGCAGAATCTCCAATTCGTTGTAAATATCTGCAACTCTGAGATACAAAATTTAGGAAACTATGCTATATAACTTTTAAAGGTCTCTTTCAAATGCCCTGAAGTGTTGTATCGAACACACTACCTAGCTCAAATTCCATAAGCACAGAATCACCAGGAGGTAAGTGATCTCCTGTGCACTTTCTGCTTTAAAATAAAGTGACATGAGTGTATACAGACTCTCAACAGTTGAGGTTTCCTAATTAAAATACATCAAATGTATAATTAAGCCTACTCTAACCTCCTCCTCTTTCACTTAGCACAAAGAGTTTTAAGAGATTTAAAAAACCAGGATATCCAAATGCGCTTCTTATTTGAGCCTCGTTTTAAGTCGCTGCTCCCTGACAACCATCTGTAAGAAATCTGATGATCAGAACTGACTTTCACAGAAGACACCTGAGGCACCACTTCAAGCGTTACTCTATTCTGCCAACTGAGATCTAAAAAACTGTTAAGGGACACAGAACTATTTTATTCAAGATCAGTCATGGACTGTACTGAATGCAACAGAAAAACTTGAGCATACAGGTAAGTAATTCAGCAGCATAATTCTGCTGAAAAGGCTCTTCCTGAAATGTTTGTTTAAAAGGTGAAAGGTCCTATAAAAAGATAAACACCAGAACACCAGAAGTTCCCTATGTCGTTCCTAACAGCTTAGAGATCCCTTTCTTCTTGCATTTAGGTGTCTGAGCTTAAAGCATTCAAGTTTCTTGCAATATGCTTGGCAGTTACATTTTCTTCCCCATTTTTAGTTTAGGTGGCTAATACCACCTATATATTAAACACACAAATTATCTGGGGAAGCCCTAGATTGTAACTGTAAAAAGAAGTTCAGGCTGACAAATACGAGTACAAAACTTCTTTTACTTCTAAAGCGTTTTGGAAGAATTACTTGACATGTTTTAGAATTAGCAAAATGAACTCAAAACACCAGATGGACAGCCATGAGCTAAAGAACATGCCTAACAGGAAAATGGCTTTGCAGCCACTCGTAGTCAATCTGCTCTTGGCCACAAACATGAGCCTACACAACAAGCCCAGATCAGATCTCAGGCTTTCAGTGACATTATTAATAATTCTCCATTTTTGTCTGAAACACAACTCAAACTCACAAGATTATATTTGCCTTTATTTTGTATTTCAGGGCTTTAGTAAGTCTCATGATAGTTTCACACCTTCACTTTGAAGCCCTAAAGTTCTTAAATTAAAGAAATATTTGACAGGAAATATCTTAATTTCTTAACACTGAATTTCACCTCATTTCTATTACGTAGCCTCTCCATACAAAGTTCCAATGTTTCTAAACATCAACGACAGTATCCAACTTCACTGTCAGTAAGTTTCCTTAGTGTACTTTTACATAGTTTTCTCTCATCTCCCAACTTGTGTATTAATTTATTTCATTTAATTTTGGTTCTGACTTTAAGGTAATAATCTTCATTTTCCTCTCAGAGTTCTGTTAGTCCCCTTCCATGGCACTTTACATTATTGTTTCAGTTACTGAATGTACAGGCATAGGATTTACTTGAATTCACCTGCCTTTACCTCAATCTCACTACCTAACGGCTTCACAAGAATTATCTTCCAAGCCTGAGTTGCAACTTTTGTTTCTTCTATTAAAGGTGAAAAAATTAAGTTTCCTTCACCATTGAGAAGTTACCAATTCAACTAGTAATGCGTTCAATAATTTATTTCATAGTAGTCCCTCACTGGAGTAAACAAACAAAATGCCAACACACAGTCACGTATCTATTTTATATACCTACCTAATTTGTATAACTATTCAATTCAAAGTTATTTTCTAAAAGAAGCTTTTGCAATATACGCAATATCTCCTAAAATAAATTCTTTTTCAATCATTATTTTACTGATTCCCCGTCTGCTGGTGAAAAATTCAATGACCACATTCAGGATTTCATCTAGCCCACATCTACTGCTAGCATCTTTAGACCTATTCAGTGTGAACACACAAATAATTTTTTTAGGACTGAAAATAAAACAATTCTCTCTTATTTTTACAGCCACCCAATGTCTGTTTGCTATAAATCTCCTCTTTGACTTTTCAGGATATAGCCTTTCTCCCAGACTAAACCACAGAGGCTCAAATTGCCTCACTCCTCTTCAGCAGCTTTGTTGTGGCTTAACTGAAAGTCTTTCAATGGCCACTTTAAATTCACCCACAGTAATTTCTTCATAGCAAATCTTGGATCCCCTCTGCACTATCAAAACTAATGCTACTTCTGGTGAAAATCTGTGGTAGTAGTCATGGAAACGTTCTACCCATCTTTTCTTTCCTAAAGATAGCATAATATTTTCCACAGTTCTTTGGAAACTCCTGTCTACAGACAAAAACCTCTGGCAACCCGGCGAGGAGTTCACATGGTGTATTCTTTGGGGTTTTGTGCAGCACCACTCAAAGCCCGTACAACATTTTCTCCTCTTTGGTTCTGTTGTCACAAAAAAAAGTTTATTTTTAGTAAAATTAAAAACATCATCTATTCCTGAATGTCTGCATTTCCCGAAAGAAATGATGATGCCCAAACTTCTTGCTGATCAAGACAAACAGCCTAACAAATGTGGATGCACTCTAAGCACACACTTCTTGGAGAATAGAGCTGGACTGCATTTCTCATGGTTCATCAAGTCAAAGAAATTCAGAGGCACTGGGAAACACAGAGTCACTTACTGCGATGACCTACCCTGTCCCAAGCAATCATCTAGATAGGAAGAAAAATCAACTTCCTGCCTTCTTGAATCAGATATCACTTGTCACTAAACTTCAGGGCTTTGCCAGAAGGAAAGCTATGTGACTAATATTCTTGGAAATTCCACATGTCAGAGGTATCCAGATGTAAAACTAAAGGCCTTACAAATCAAGACCTGCATAATGGTGTACATATAACACAAATGACAAACCAAGATTACCAAATGTCCTGCTGATATTAAGACTGTTAGAGACAAACTTTCCTTCTTTGGAATTAGGGGTAGGAATAAGGAAAAAAAAAAAAGTGTTTCAGAAGTGTAGACCTTTACAAGAAATTCTACCTTCCAATGGAAATATACTGGAAGACGAAGACTCGAACATGAAGGTCCACAAGGAAGCTGAAGAGAAATAGTTAAGTGACAAAAAAAGTTACCTTTAAGATCCATGATCCAACATACTATCATTTTTCCAACACTAATAGAGGCAGTTGTCAGAAGGAAGAGACTCACTGGAGGCATAGTTGTGAGCTCGCTCTACCATCTCATCAAACTGCTACCTTTCCTTTAGATTGCTGCCAGAGACACAGTGAACAAATACGAGGTGCTGTTGCCCTGAAAGAACAACCCATGTTGGAAATGGCACTGTCAAGATCAAAGTCCAAGCAGCGACAGAAGATGGAATTAATCAAAGAAAAAAATGTTTCGGCTCCGCTATAAAACCCTTACTTCAAGGAGATTTTCATTTGTTTATTGGTTCTGCCATAGGACTCCAGACCTCCTAGAGAATAAAGTTTCCTCACAATCATGCTTCTTGACATCACACCAAATACCTACAGCACAGCCTGGACAGATGATTGAGCAATTCACTGAGCTCTGATTACAGGATGCATCATCTCCTGACACTCTTAGTGAGAGACTAGAAAAACTATTCGAACCTATCCTCAAAGCAGCACTTGGTCATTCACTACTCTCATCAACACATTCCCTATAAACTCAACATTTTGACTACCAATGCCCTTCGTTTTTTTCCTCCCAAATTGTAGATTTTGAAAAGTCCTTCTAATTTTCTTTTGCCAATTCTAAGGCAACACATTCAGGATACTAACAGAAGTATTTATACCTTGCAGAAGTAAACTGTCAGCTTTCCTGGAGATGACGTACAATAAAAGGTCCATAAATAATAAAGGGCATCGACTAATAAAAAAACACCACCTGGAATTAATGCTGTTTCCCTATAAAAACTTCTAGGGCAACATCCTACGTTTGCCATCATCCTAGAGAGATGAGATGAAAACACACCTAACGAGTCTCTCCG